GGATTTCTGGCTACCAGGTGTCTTTCATACAGGTAACAAGCTGAGATTAGAAGCAGTCTCTTAAAGGGAGTGCTGCTAATCTAATTTTGTTACCTGTATAAAAGACACCTGTCCACAGGAGCAAACCATCAGATTCCAAACTCGCCACCATGGCAAAGATCAAAGAGCTGTCCAAGGATGTCAGGGACAAGATTGTAGACCTACACATGGCTGGACTTGGCTACCAAACTATCGCCAAGCAGCTTGGTGAGAAGGTGACAACAGCTGGTACAATCATTTGCAAATGGAAGAAACACAAAACAACAGTCAGTCTCCCTAGGTCTGGTGCACCATGCAAGATCTCACCTCGTGGAGTGTCAATGATCATGAGAACAGTGAGGAATCATTCCAGAACTATACGTAATGTTCCAAATACTTGAATGAGACAATGTTCTTGCAGTACAGGTATGTCCCATTTAAGCTGATGGAAGGCATGGGCATATGGGACTGGATTTTTTCCGGTTGGGCAGTACGGGAAGTCACCCAGCATCGGAGGTGGCAAATAAGCACGTGAACTTTTCTGTTAACTTGTCAAAGCTTATATGAGATTGCAGTGTTTAGGTTTAGATCTGTTTAAAAAACTTTCATTACTTGTACATGATTATGCTGTACAGGTAAAAGAAGATAATTATCTCAAGGCGATCATGCACATTTACAGTAGCAGTACAATAGCATTCCTTACTAATACGTACCAGTGTCCCTGTTTTGCATGTATGCTGTTTTATGTCATTTTCTGCTTTCTTGCCCCTTTTTTGCAGCATTACGTTCATACCAAGTTGTTGTGTTCTTCGATTTCCTTCTCACTTCCTCCTTTTTTTGAGGCTCTGCTCCATCCTGTCTTGTCTTATCAAACGTTATACGTCACAGCCTTCCCTGTGTCCTATCAGCAATGGCTGATCTCAGCCTTGCCCCACCTCTGCTGAGAGATAACAGGTCCTTGAGAGCCTGTCATCGTTATACACTGGTCCTGTATCTGCACAAGCGAATCCAACAGCGTTCTTTTCCTGTTTGCTAAGGATTTCTTTAGTGTATTCTTTTTTGAATAAGAAACGTAGAACGCAAACATTCACAGTAAATGGACAGACTAGGAAGCCTCCATTGAAGTACGCAGAACTTAATACAGTTCATTGAGATCAATTTACAAAGCTGTTTTTGTTGTTGTTCTGCTGTTATTTTCTTTACACTGCACCTTATCTAGCTCTAACCTCTTAACATCATAGATATTACAGTCTACCCATACAATCTTTGTACAATCAACTATAAGCTCACCACACATTTTGCAATCTAAAATCACCTTTACATTAACCAACAACAATGCAATGCAAGGACCTGCCTGATTTGAGGTACAGATACAGTATAATTAGATAATTTACCCTAGGAACGTGGCGTCTGATGCCAAACTGGAAGTAGCACGCAGCCAGTTTTAGTATTGGAGAACGTGGTGTATTGATATGTGAACTGCTGGGACTGCTCTGAAGGAATTCCCAATGTAAGCAGATAATACATTTGTTATTATCTTATTCTAATACTTGATGGGTCTCTTCTTTACCTTCTGAGGAAATTGGAGAAGCTAAGAGTACTACCTGATGGTGGATGGAAGCTGTCAAATGATTACTTATCATGAGATGCCTGTTAATACTGCAAGAGGGTAATTGCCTTGAATCCCACTAGTGTGAGATGGTCAAGGGGTATTCACTTCACGTATTAATTGGATTGTCACGGAGTGGTTTTGATGTTATTCTGAGATGCTTGTTATTACTGCAAGAGGGTAATAGTTTTTTTCCCACTAGTGGTCAAGGATTGTTCACTTCACGTCAGGGGCGGACTGACCATTTGGAAACTCGGGCACTGCCTGAGGGCCCGGGGTCAGTAGGGGGCCCCATGAGATACCCCTGGTACCTTTTTCATAGGCTTTTTTGAGTTTGGGCAAAGACACAGGGGCCCCATGATCCCCCATTGCCCGGGGGCCCCATGAGTTGTCAGTCCGCCCCTGCTTCAGGTATCTATTGAATTTTCACGGAGTGGTTTTGATATTCCATAAAATTTATTTTAGATTCTAATTCTTTTATATAATAAATAATTTTATTTATTATTTTTTGGGGGGCTGATTTTCACGGTTTCAGGAGTATACACGGAGTGGATATTGGTTTGCATGATTCACGTGTCACTCACGTTGTATTTATTCAATTTTTTCACAATTGTTCACTTATTAATTTTATAATATTTGAAGATAATACACTACGTTCGTTTCATTTTTTTTGAGGTACTACGGGATGTGGATTGATGAATAAATTGGATATTTTCTGGAATATCTTCGTCTCTGGACACATTTATATTTGATATTTGGACTTTTTTTGGAGACACTTTAGTTTCAAAAAATGTTTTTTGGTCTTGTGTGTTTGAAAGTGGTGTAATTTGAATTTAGCACCACGTATTGGGTATTTTACTTGAGATAGGGGCTTTGTAGTCTATTTAGAGAAAAGGTTTTGTTATATATATTCACTTTCAAGGGTGGAAGTGTGACTTTTCTTGGGTGTATTTGTGTGAGAGTTTATTCAATTATATATCTTTCAAATGAATGGGCTATTGTGCCCACGCAAATCGTGGCCCGCACAACTGCACATATGTGAATCAGGGTTAGGTAGGTTCCCATATTACATAGTTTTGGTAAATCTAAAGTTGATTGTAATGTGTATGGCATACACTGATAGATTATTTTCTTTTAGTATGCAAGCTGAATCTAACTATCTAACTATCTAAGAGTTGCTATACAGCACAGATTAGGAATCTACAGTGCCTGCTTTTGAATTTTGGCAGCCAGTGAGGATGGTTGTCAGAATACCCAAAATTAACCACATCTGATTGGATGCAACTGCTGTTTGGTCGACAGTTTTTCACCTGGCTCCTTCAATTTTTCAATTGAAAGATGACAGGGAGAGTGTGGACAGGGCTGCCCAGGAAGCAAATTTTAGCAGGTTCAGCAGAAATCTGGAAAAATGTGCTCAGTGTATGGCCAGCTTTTGATTTAACATGATTGTAAACCTCAGATATGAAATATGGACAAAGCATATCCCTCTATAGTGTGTACTTGTCTAAATCCAGAGTACTAAGGGTCATTTCTGACTGCTGCCACATTCTTCTGCTATAAGCATGAGTTACTTCTAGTGAGTTTTCCTGACACCAAGAGAAAAGAGGTGACAGAGGAGGGATCTCAGCAGATTGACAGTCTCAGCTCTGTTCCTTTGTGCTGTTGGAAAGGGGGCATATCCCTTCCCTCCAATCAGCTTTTAGAGCTCTTCTCACTGCTGTAACTTCAGCTTCCTAATCCTGCTTTTCAGAGTTGAGAGATCTGGTGCAAATTCTGCACTTGAATGGATGTAGGGGAATTACTGCTCTAAATAAACAGGTACAACTTACATAGGAGTATGTGTTTCATCTCTGTGTATCACCTGAGGCCAATCACTTTACTGCGTATATGTAAGGGTTTACAGCCACTTTAAAGGACTTCAACTATTTAAAATAATCATAAATTCACATGTTTTTGGAGGTAAAAAAATGTACATGTTTTTTTTTTTCTCAGGAGTCTGCAGAGCATTGCATAATGTGAACTGCAGACTCTTTATACAGCTTTGTGCTCAAAAAATCTTTACCAAAAAAGCATTTAGTTGGTGGCTCTGCTTGCCCAGTTCCATTCAACAAAAGTCGATTGTTCAATGGACTTTTGTCAATTGAGCCTGCAGGGAAATTTTCAGCTAAACAACGGCTGCATTCAGTCAGATGCAGTGACTGGGTATTTTGACAGCCAGTGGGGCAGGCTGTCAGAATACAACAGCTGAAGAGGGAAATTTTTCCATCTAAGAGGTACAGTATCTCCCAGAAGTGAGTACACCCCTCACATTTTTGTAAATATTTTATTATATCTTTTCATGTGACAACACTGAAGAAATGACACTTTGCTACAATGTATATTAGTGAGTGTACAGCTCGTATAACAGTGTAAATTTGCTGTCGCCTCAAAATAACTCAACACACAGCCATTAATGTCTAAACCGCTGGCAACAAAAGTGAGTACACCCCTAAATGAAAAATGTCCAAATTGGGCCCAAAGTGTCAATATTTTTGTGTGGCCACCATTCTTTTCCAGCACTGCCTTAACCCTCTTGGGCATGGAGTTCACCGGAGCTTCACAGGTTGCCACTGGAGTCATCTTCCACCCCACCTTGACGACATCACGGAGCTGGTGGATGTTAGAGACCTTGCGCTCCTTCACCTTCCATTTGAGGATGCACACAGATGCTGAATAGCGTTTAGGTCTGGAGACATGCTTGGCCAGTCCATCACCTTTACCCTCAGCTTCTTTAGCAAGGCAGTGGTTGTCTTGGAGGTGTGTTTGGGGTCGTTATGTTGGAATACTGTCCTGCAGCCCAGTCTCCGCAGGGAGGGGATCATGCTCTGCTTCAGTATATCACAGTACATGTTGGCATTCATGGTTCCCTCAATGAACTGTAGCTCCCCAGTGCCGGCAGCACTCATGAAGCCCCAGACCATGACACTCCCACCACCATGCTTGACTGTAGGCAAGACACACTTGTCTTTGTACTCTTCACCTGGTTGCCACCACACAAGCTTGACACCATCTGAACCAAATAAGTTTATCTTGGTCTCATCAGACCACAGGACATGGTTCAAGTAATCCATGTCCTTAGTCTGCTTGTCTTCAACAAACTGTTTGCGGGCTTTCTTGTGCATCATCTTTAGAAAAGGCTTCCTTCTGGGACAACAGCCATGCAGACCAGTTTGATGCAGTGTACAGCGTATGTTCTGAGCACTGACAGGCTGACCCCCCACCCCTTCAACCTCTGCAGCAATGCTGGCAGCAATCATATGTTTATTTCCCAAAGACAACCTCTGGATATGACGCTGAGCATGTGCACTCAACTCCTTTAGTTGACCATGGCGAGACCCGTCGTGTTAAACCGCTGTATGGTCTTGGCCACCGTGCTGCAGCTCAGTTTCCGGGTCTTGGCAAGTTTCTTATAGCCTAGCCCATCTTTATGTAGAGCAACAATTCTTTTTTTCAGATCCTCAGAGAGTTCTTTGCCATGAGGTGCCATGTTGAACTTCCAGTGACCAGTATGAGAGAGTGAGAGCGATAACACCAAATTTAACAAACCTGCTCCACATTCATACCTGAGACCTTGTAACACTAACGAGTCACATGAGGGGAAATGGCTAATTGGACCCAATTTGGACATTTTTACTTAGGGTTGTACTCACTTTTGTTGCCAGCGATTTGGACATTAATGGCTGTGTTGAGTTATTTTGAGGTGACAGCAAATTTACACTGTTACACAAGATGTACACTCACTACTTTACATTGTAGCAAAGTGTCATTTCTTCAGTGCTGTCATATGAAAAGATATAATAAAAATATTTAGAAAAACGCGAGGGGTGTACTTACTTCTGGGAGATACTGTATATCATAGATAGAGGAATCTGTTTTTTTAAGAGCTATGTGATTTTTTTTTTTTTTTTTTCAGCAAACTCAAAGTTGCAGAAATATCTTGTATCAGTGAGATGTTATTAACAAATTATCAAATTACAAGATAAATATTATAATATAGAATAGAAAATAATGTGTTATGTTATTGGGATAAAATTTATTTGTGTGAATGTGGTGATGATATCTTCTTGTTTGCATTGTGAGAGAGAGAAGAAGCCCCCAGCACCCCCAACATTCTGGAACCCTTAGTGCCACACAAGCAACATATACATAAAAAAGCCATCCCGCAATGCAGGCACAGAAGAGTTCCTAAAATACAATATGATACTCTTGGAATGCTTGACAACAGTAGGCCGGGGAGTTGGAATGTACCCTAAAAGTTTATCATCTGAATGAAATAATATTACATATACCAATACATATACAGTATATAATGTATTGTTCTTTCCTATATTAACGTCTTCATCAAGAAAAATTTGAGTATAAGGACTGTTTTCTTAGAGTGCTCATAGAAAATGCATTAAGGTAAAAAAAAAATTTTTCAATGTCGGCTCCCTCCAAACCCTCTAAAATATTTACTCGATCCAGCTGCACTGTGCCCATCTGCAGCAGCACTGCTCTACTCTCCTCTCTTCTCACAGGAGGCTTGGCCAATGGCTCCTGCTGCTGTCAATCAAATCCTGTGAGCAGAGAATGGGGGTGGGCTGAGCCACACATGTCTGTGGATGCTCACAGCCTGGCTTGGGAATTGAGCCCGAAAGAGTGCCCCTATAACAAGCGGCTTGCTGGGGGGGGGGGCATTTGGAGAAGAGCAGGAGTCAAGACCACTGGCAGGGGACCCGAGAGGATCATTGCACAGAGCAGGTAAGAATAACATGTTTTATTATTTTTGAAAAAATAAAAACCTTTACAACCACTTTAAATTACAGTATACTTGCATAACAAACTTTTACACACTGTCAATACAATTATTCTATTTAAAACCTATGACTCACATAATTCGGGATGGGATTGATTATGTTAGCCAACGCCTAATGAATACCATCTGTAAAGGCTTGCTTGTGGGTTTTAGACACCAAAAAACATATATGCATTTTCAAATAGACGTGGGGTTGAACCAAAAAAAAAAAATCCCTGACAGATCCCTGTCTCAACACAAACAATGTGTAACAATCTCTCCAGCTGAACTCTTGTACTCTGACAGGCCCCCCTCCCCTGTCAGAATACACTGATCAGCATTGCAGCCATTGGCTGAAAGCACTGACCAAATGCTGGTTTTCCAGTTTGACTGTTTGACAGAAGCTAATCATTAGACCGCTTCTGGTGAACAGACAGTGGTACACACAGACCGAAATTCGGCCAGTTCCTGCTGAACTACCCAATTTTAGATCGGTGTATACCCTGCTTAAGTGGCATCTTCTTTACTTTGGAAATAATTTTGTTGACTTTTTGTATCATTTCCAGTACAGGAAGTGTAGAAATTTGTGGTACTATTATAATATTCAACCATACAAACTAAATTAACTTTACAATGAGCCATGAGTTTTATTTACCACCCCTGCACTCTTTACATCTTGCTTCTCTTTGTCTCTCTGAGCAACATACCATTTAAGGTGAAAAAACTAAAAAAACTCAAGTGGAACCACAACATATGATTATGAAAATATTCCCCTTGGGGAATTGTAACAGAGTGCTCCCCTAAAAAAGAGACAATAGCAAGTGATACATAAAAGATTCAAGTGTCCATCAATAACTCAATTCCTGTAAAAATCATCATCAGTCATGCATTTTCAAATGTGATCATGCGTTTTGGTGATAGGTGAAGTGATATCCAACAATGGCAGGCATGCGCGCTCACCTTCCCACTGCGACCCCAAATGGACCACAATGCCTTTTGGATCCCCTGGATCCTACTAGTAATCACTGGTTAGGTCAGGTGTCGCACTCCTTTTTGGTACCTCCTTCTTTCCCCTCCATCCACCTCTTATGCCTCTATCCACAGTGCGTAATATATATGTTCAGGCCAGTGCATAGCATAGAACCACAAAACAAAATGCCTTCATAGCGTAAAACCATACATTTATTGTATATAAAAAAAAAATGCCAAATGCTCACTTACATTCAAGTAGAAATATACAGGCTATTTTACACAAAGGCATGTGTACTGTATAAACCCTGGAATTTAAAGATGGCGCCAACCGGAAATACGTCACTACGCTGCCTCTACGCGTTACGCCACACCCACGTGGCTTCCTCAGGATCCTCAGGAGGCAGTGTGGCCCCTTGGGGTCGCAATGGGAAGGTGAGCGCGCATGCCTGCCATTGTTGGATATCACTTCACCTATCACCAAAACGCATGATCACATTTGAAAATGCATGACTGATGATTTTTTTACAGGAATTGAGTTATTGATGGACACTTCCCCAAGGGGAATATTTTCATAATCATATGTTGTGGTTCCACTTGAGTTTTTTAGTTTTTTCACTGATTGCACTAAGTGATTCACTTCAAGTAGTTCTGTTTATGTATTTTTGTATGTGTGGTCTTATTATTTTATATTATATTATATCTTAGCGCTACATCATAAATATATGGTATTGTTTATATTTCATCTTGAGGGGATGTTTTTCAGATGTTAGCTGCTTATAGGCGATAACAGAGCAGGTGGACTTTTTTTAATACCATTTAAGGTGTATACTATCCAGGCAGCAACATGCTCTTAAAACTGTCTCCTTTCACTTACTAATAAGTGTGCATTATACAATTCCCTCACTTTGTTTAGGTTTCTGAATATTCATGACCTGCTCTTTACTGATTGACCAATGGCTAAAGCTTACTACACACACGATCAGAAATTGTATGCAAAATACTGCTTTCAAAGCCATTATACAATAATCTGATCGTTAGTACACAGCTTTGGTCTGAAATTATTTGAAGGGACAAGCACAAACCTTTTTCTCGTACGATACAGATCGTACAATTTTCATTTAAATCAGTACAGTTTTCATTCTGAAAATACAGTACAAATACAATACAAAAACATTACATCATTTACAAATTTTCTTTCTGTCGCACAAGAATTTTCATAACTATAGTAACCTCTTCACCTTTGATATGAGACTAGCATGCAAAAAAAAGGACAATCATTTGTCCAATATTCTCAACGCGTGTAGGGGGCTTTATTTTCATTTGATCTGCCAAAATTCTACCACAGTTACACAAATTCACAGTTTGGGTTAATTTACACTTGCTTCGACTTTAACACATGTTAAAGCGCCTACCGCTTCAACATGCTATTTTGATATGTTTTTGATGCTTCAGTGATGCTTCTGTGATATGATTTTTGTTTTAAAGGGGCCCAGTAGAACCCCAGCTCAGTAGTACTCTCACTCAGCAGATCCCCAGCTCATTAATACCCCTGTTCAGCAGATCCCCAGCTCTTTGGTATCTTTGTACAGCAGATCCCCAGCTCTTTGGTATCTTTGTACAGCAGATCCCCAGCTCTTTGGAGTCTTTGTACAGCAGATCCCCAGCTTATTAATACCCCTGTTCAGCAGATCCCCAGCTCATTAATGCCTCAGTTCAGCAGATCCCCAGCTCATTAATACCCCTGTTCAGCAGATCCCCAGCTCTTTGGTATCTTTGTTCAGCAGATCCCCAGCTTATTAGTACCCTTGTTCAGCAGATCTTCTGCTCAGTAGCACCCCAGTTCTGCTGTTGTCCTACTCATTAGTACCCCTACCTTGCTGATCCTCTGCCACACAGTTCTCTCTCTCCAGTCCATGCTCACCATAAACTATAGCATTCCCATATTGCACACCATGTGTACCATCTGTTAGCTGCTCCACTCCATTCTGAATCCCACTCACCTTCCTGCTGCTTCACGCTGCACACCAGATGTGACATCTGCACCAGCCACTCCCAGAATGTTTACACATGAACCGCAAGTGACTGCTGATGATGTCTTTCAGGTTCACTTATTGATTTCCCAGTGCATCCAGGGATATCTCACACCTGCAATACCTCCAAAACAAAGCGAAGCTAAAGCTGAATAAAAGACTCTCAAAAGCTGCAGGTACTGTGAGTGAGCTTTGTCATAGGCTTCTATGGAAGCTTTTGAGATGTTCTGAAGCACCAAGAAAGCGACATGGGGTATACTTTTTTAATTAAATTAAATTAAAGCAAAAGCAATGTGCAAACCTGACTGTAAGCTTACCATTTTATTTGATAGGTGCTTTGATTGGCATTGAGAGTGCTTTAAAAAAGCCTGTCCAACGCCACATTTTGAAGCAAGTGTAAACAAGCTCTTATAGAGTGCAGGGCCAGAAATTATTGACGTTGCAAGCAGTATCGAAGGGACCAATAACTACCACATAAACAATATAGAAAAATGGCCAAGGAAGGTTATTGTATTACCAAATCACTATTTCATACTTTAACCCCCATAATAATAGAACTGAAAAAGTTGCTTGGCAGAAGTCCAACCATGGTCATACTGATGATTAAAAAAATAAATATATATACTGCACATTTATAAAATACAGCAGTGTGCTTTACAGATGTGCTTAGTGTTTCACTGGCTTCAGGGTTCCAAGTTGAATGGAAAGTAATGTGATTGGCTGCTCCTCCAATTACACAGAAAGACCACTATGGAACATGCTGCAGGCTCCGTACCCCCAGCAGTCT